GCAACTTCTTTTTGTTTCCTCGAATGAAGAGGGCCATGAAAAGATAGCAATTTGACAACATAGAAGAGATGAAGAAACAAATGAAAGAGGTGCTGTCAGCAACCAAACAAATGATTTGAAGAATGTTTCCAAGAATGGAATCGCAGATCTGACAAATGTGTTAAGTGTAATGGAGAGTACTTTGAAGAAGATAAGGTTGTTTTATAAAAATTAAAAAAAATTAAACCCATAGCTTTGAAAAAAAATCCCTTTTTTGGGAGGAGTGGCGCATGCCTCCCCCACCCACCAGTATGTCTAACAAGAGGAAGGGGTAGAAAGATGAGTAGCCAAACAGTTGGAAGAAGCTGTCGAGATTCACAGCTCTTGCTTTGGCAGAGAGAACCCTCCAACTCACTGCTGTCCAGTCGATTCTAATGGAGAGTGATAAACTTTCAGAGCCTTCGTAACTCTTTACAGAAGCATAAAACCACACCTTTCTCCTAGAGTGGCTGGTAGGTTTGCACAACCAGCCTTGTGGTCAGCAGCCCCAACCACTGTCCCCAACAGCAACACCAGGGCTCCTGATCAAGCCACCAAACCGAGAACAACCCCGCTGCCATTGAGTCAATTGGGGCTCACACTGACCAAGTAGGACAGGGTGGGCTTCTGAAGCTGTAGCTCTTCATGGGAGTAGACAACTTCAGTGTCCTCCCGAGGAGCAGCTGGCAGATGCAAACGGAGAACCTTGAAGTTCCATAGAAGTTCCAGAATAAGGGCAGGTGGCATTCTGTGGAAATCCGAGAGAACCCCTGGAGAACAGAGCAGACCTAGTATTTGAAAATCACAAATCTTCCCTCAAAAATCTGTCATGAGGATAAAGGTACCAACCCAGCTTCTAATCCTCAGCTTTGGGACAAATAATACTTAACATTGGACATGAGTTTGAAACTAGAATTTAGCAATAAACTGTGCTTTCATTTTAAATTCTATTTCTGGAGTTCCTCCTCCATCTCATCCTCTGCCCTCCCCCACTACCCATCTTTTTCTTTCTCTCAAAGCCCCTCTTGCTCTTTCTCCTTCCTCTTTCTCTGTCCCAACCTCCATTGCTCATGTCCTGCGATTTCCCTCCTCCCAATCTATGGATCTGTCTCTGCTCCCTTCTGCCCAGGATGTTGCGTCTCTTAGCACCTCAACCCACAGCCAAACTCGCTGAGCAGTCTTGAGAGAGCCCGAGGAGGCAGGCTGACCCAGAGCAAACCAACGTCTAAAAGACCTCCAGGGAGATTGGATCCACCGAGA